CATCCCTGTCTTGTTCCTCTATGTAGGGGGAATGGTTTGGATATTATTTCATTGGTGATGACAGTGGCCATGGGTGAAGAGTATAATGTTTTAATCCAGTGTATAAATGATTCTCCAAAACAAAATTTTTGTTTTGTTGAAATAAGAAATGTATGATTGACTCTATCGAAGGCTTTTTCGGCGTCAAGGGAGGTAATAATGGTTTTGAGATTGTTGAATCCAGAAATCCTTTAATGAAACCGGTTTGATCAGGATGTATTATATGAGGGAGTACTTTTTCAATACGGAGGGTGAGGGCTTTGCTAATTATTTTGACGCCTGTGTTGATTAGTGATCGCGGCCAGTAACTGGAGCATTGGGTCGGCTCTTTGCCTGACTTTGGCAGCAATGAGAAGAGAGCGGTATTCATATGTTGGGAAACTTTGGAGGTATGTTTGATTTCTTGGCGCATTTTCATAAATAGTGGTGAAATAGTGTTCCAGAAATGTTTAAAAAATTCAGCAGGGAGGCCGTCTGGACCAGGTGCTTTATTGTTAGGCATTTGGTTAAGTGCTTTAAAGTATTCATCTTGTGTGAGTGGTTTGTCCAGGGTGTTGGCTTGATCAGTTGTAATTTTGGGAAGGTTGAGAATGTCTACAAATGAATCGATTTCTAATGCATCCGGTTCATGATGACAACTGTATGGTTTACTGTAAAATAATTGAAAAGTGTTGTTGATGTCTTAGGGTGAGAACATTAGCCTCCCTGCTGAATCCCTCACAATGGATATTATTGATTTTTCTTTGTTACATTTTAGTTGGTGCTTCAGTTTAGTTCTACAATGTGGAATATAATCAAACTAATGGAAAACCCTTGAATGAGTGGATGTGTCCCTACTTTTGGCTGGTATACTAATAAATCTGCAGCCTCCGGTCTGACGCATGAGATAGGTCTGTTAATTAACTCAGTAGCCTGTTTATGCAAGATCGGTCACATTATCAGGAATGCCATTGTTATTTTGTGTCTCAGACTCTTAAAAAACTTTAATGACACAAAGAGTGTTGGTGAGCTAAAAATCTTACGACAGCAAGGTTGAAAATAGTTTTTATATACTATTTTCAGCACAAATGTCCTTGACAGCCTAAAACTGACTGTTTCACTGAATTTCACAGAATTTACTTGTTACTTTAAAGTCATTTTGTGCAGAGAGAGGGCAGTCTATATAATACACATGGCTTAAAGTATTCTGGCACCGTGCCGGATTTCTGGTGTGCAGCGTTTGGCTCTGACAAAAAAGGTGGACTACGTTAGCAATGGAGTTCGTCTACCAATACAATGAGGTGAACGCAGCTTTTACTCTCAACCAAACTAATATCTCTAGCCAATGGGAAGTAGAGTGGGGCAGGGTCTTAGAAAGACATTGAGATCCAGCTGCAGTTGTTGGAGTTTCACAGAGTTCTGTACGCTGTTATCAGGAGTATGGAGAACAGATTCTCGAAGTCAGTGAAGACGTCTTCATTGATTAAGGAATTAAAAATAAATGGTGCTGGGCGTGGTTGGCAGAGTTAAGCAGATACGGCAAGCCCTTTGGTTGCTGGTGCAAAAAATGAAAGGAGCCAGGTGCTTGCTTCTGTACCATCTGCTCAAAAAAGCTCATGTACACAACTAGCAGCAAAAAAATATGGTCAGATCATGAGTCAGACCCTGGCAACAGAGCTCGTTCCAGATTAACTGGTGATCCTAATAACTGGTGATACCAGCATTTCTGAGACAGATGTTTTGTAGGCGTGGCTTTTCAGGACCCCTTACCGACTGACCAGGAAATAAACGATTTGACAAGTTAGTCTCTAAAAGTACGATTTCTGCTGTCCTTTTCTTTTTGCTTTTGACAAAAATATCTGGAAATAACAGCCTTCTAAAACCTTCTAAAAGTCAGACGCTGTCGGGCTCCACTAAAGAAGCTATGTTAGCGCAATCGGAACCGCTGGAGCTGTGATAGCTCACTGATTACTATGAAGACATGTTTGTACGAAAGAAAGAGACAGTAGACCAACACAAATGTGCACGTTATTTTGACATGAAGGCTACTATATTGTGTGAAAATAGAATGCCAAGTGCTTAAGTATAACATCAATACATTGATATAATATTGGCAGATTTAGATCACATTGTGCTACACTGGCTTATTTAAATTCACAATCATCAAAAGTATCACACGACAGAAAGAAGGTATTCCAGTTTAACTGGAGATGGTTGCTGTATTTACCCTCAAGATGATCCGTTTGTAGGTCTGTCCTGACCAGACCTGTCTGTGAGTTAAGATAAAGATACGACATAAAGAAGACCTCGCCAACAAAAGTAAACGTTGAAGTCTATGTCCATGTCAATATCATCTACAGACAGCAAAACCAAATGTGCTGGCCAAAATAAAAAACACATATTTTTCAAGTCCGGTGAGAGGATTCGAAACTATGTAGTCCAGATGTAAAAATACGAGTTCAACTGGTGATTATCACCAACAGCTGCCTCGCTTACTGAATATCACCAGTTAATTTGATCACCAGTTAATCTGAAACGAGCTGCTGTCTGCTCTGAAACTCACAACTCGTCTGCCGGGAGCAGCAGCCACCACTGAGATACCGGCATCAATGACTGACCGGGTTTGAGATTTAAAAATATTCATGTTCATGTTCATTGCAGAACACAACTTGTCGTTCACCATATCTCAGCCACTCGTTAATCTTTGTAAAAAGTTGGCTGAAGATAAAAATGCCTTGTCAAAAGCTATCTGTGTCAAATCAGCATGCTGGTTTCATAAATATACATGGTATAGCACCAGCATTTAAGAAATGCCTTTCTGAAAAAATGTGTGTTTTCATTGAATATTGACAGTATTGTATTTCTGTTTATATTTATATATATATATACATACACACACACACACACACACACATATATATATATATTTGTTGTTTTTGTTTTTTGTTTTTTGGGGGGGCTTTTTGCCTTTATTTAGAGCAGTAGAGATAGACAGGAAAGGGGGGAGAAGAATAGGGAGAGACCTGCAGCAAATGGTTGTAAGCAGGAGTCAAACCCATGACCACTGCATTGAGGAACTGTAGCCCCTGTTCATGGGTTGCCCGCTCAGCTAGGTGAGCTATAGGGATACTCCACAAAGTATTGTATGTCAAAACTAGAAAAGCACTCGGAGAGCGCAGACCTCTGCCAAGCAGCTCATTTCCACCATATTGTGATTTCCAGCCAATGTTAAAGTCCTGCATTCATTTTGTCTACATTAGCAGATTCATGAAGAATCAAAACATAGCTTTAGCATTTGAACTGACATTGATATCATTAATAACCAGCTGACGTCGTTTTGTACTCTCAAATATTTTGTACACTTGTATTATTTCTGCAGTTACTTACTGGCTTTGAAGCTGTTAGCTAACGCTATGCTAGGTTGGCATAACTATAGTGAAGCTATTGCTAGCATGAACAGGCAGGCAGTAAGTTAAGCTAGGTGAGCACAACTTTAGCAATGCAACGTAAATGACAAGCATGACCGACATGGCAAAGAGAGTTAAAGTGAAACAGGAGACAAGTTGAGTCATTGTTAATGTCACAATGTAGTTCTGAACTTATCTGTCAGTTGCTCCGCCCAGCCCACTCCTGTAATGCTGCCTGGCTGTAGCTTAGTCCTGTACTACTGAGAAGACAGCGGTGAGGACTGAAGGATTGAATGGAGTCAGAGCTCCATCTAGTGGACAAATGGCAGAACGACAGCATGAACGACTGACACTTAACAGCATTTAATGTTTTTATGAGAAAATAACCAGACAGTAAGCCAGAACATCACTAAAATTTAATCATCTGTTCATTGTGCCATTATCAACATTTCCTGAAATATTCATGAAAATCTGTTTATAACTTTTCAAGTTATCTTGCTAGCAGACACACAAACAGACAAACACCGGCTAAAACATAACCTCCTTGGCAGAGGTAATAATAATACCTGAATGAATGATATATAGTTGTTACAATGAGAGAGAAAAAATGGAGAAAAAGCTGGCCACGTTTTAGTAGTTCTTGCGAATAGTGCTGGTGGAAATGCTGTAACATGAACTTTTGTGTACAGGTTCATCGGGTCTTCACCAAAGGTGCAGCTACTCTTGAAGGCACAATTCAGCGAGGTGACAGAATTTTATCTATAAATGGCACAGGTCTGCAGGGTAAAACCCATGGAGAGGCTGTCTCTTGCCTACATCAAGCCAGACTGTCTAATGAAGCCGTAGTAATCATTTTGAGAAACAAGGACAGTGAACAAAGTATCTCTGACAGACAAGACTCTGCTGTCCAGCCAAAGAGTATGTGTTCTGCCACCAAGAAGATTTTGGAAGCTGGAGCAGGTAAGTGGTTGAAGCTTATACTTGCATCTCAAACTACAGTGACCAAACTGCTCGTATTCATGAGGGTAAAGCAGTTTGTCCTCTAGCAATAGAGCTTCCTCTCATTTTCCTATTATATTGTTAACTATGCAGCCAAATTCAACACACTCTGATCTACTTGCATCATCACTTCACCACTGTAGCTCCTGTAGACCATTTCACTGTTTCCAACGGAAGCATTATCCTTATGAACTGCCCTTGCTGTTTCAGTGTTACCTGCCCTTGGTTCCATGAATAAGTTCTCATACATGACCTGTGTATTTATTTAACTTGTAAAATTGTGGTTGTTGAATGCTTATTAGTGGTGGATGTAGGTCCGGATGGTGTTTTAACAGTGGAGCTTCAGAAGACATCTGCTGGCCTGGGCTTCAGTCTGGAGGGGGGGAAGTACTCACGCCACGGAGACGGGCCTTTCATCGTCAAACGTATCTTTAAAGGTAACCTTTGTCTCTAACTAAGAATATGTTAACAGTAATTACCGATCTACAGTCCTACTGAGTGACATCATAGTGGCTTGTAGCTATATTTGCATCGGGTTTGATTATAACTGTGATCCTCCTGTTTAAGGTCAACTTTGCCCTCACAAAGTTTTTCTATTCAGACACGCACTTAATCATGCAAACATTTTATAACAGTATCATAGTAAAGGTAGAGCTTGCAAGAAAATCCTGATTGATATTTTTAATCTTTTGTAATGACTATCACAAAAACCTTTTGGCTGCACCAGGTTCTACTAGATCACAACAAACACAATGCCTTGATTACCAGCATAAACAGGGATGTAGGCCTTAATAGAGGGATAAATATGAAAAATATGTGGCTGCGGACCATTCATGTTTGCAATTGGACATTTGGTGCACACCAACATAGCAGGTTTTATGTGAACACACTAACAGTTAGACTCACAAATCCTTGATTGACTTAATGAGCTGATGACCAGCTTTGTGTTACTGCTTGGCATCACTGTGATTGCTAGGTTTAGGAAAGCTAAATAATAAAAAAGACATTGTGGATATAAGGAACTTAATTCATAGTACAGGCCCCTGAACCACATTGACTCAACTTAACTTTCCTCTGTTACTCCACTTGACCAGGTATTGGGTGCCAGCACTCTCAGGTGTGTCATGATGCCTTTTTTGTATCAACATCCATGCTAACTTCATTTATTTTAACAAACAGATGGTAACACAAACGGAAATAAAACACTTAATTTTCATTCCATGCCAAGTCACCTAACCCTCCCAGTCCATGTCATGGGTTTCTTGAAAAAATAAACATCGCAACTTCTTTTAAAATTTCATGGGACTCACAAAATCCTGAAGTGCTACTCAAAATTGTGACAGTAGTTAAATTAGTACCATTTAATAATTTTCTCACCAAAGAAAGACTCTTCAATTGAGTTTACTCGCTTCATTCGCGCCTATAAGTCGCATCATTCGTGTGTCAAGATTTGTGTCTGAATTCAAGTCATTCGCGCGAATGACATGATCCAGACGCCGGATCCATGTGACCCCCCAGAGACGCACACAGCTCAGGGAGTTCCCCCACCTTATCCAGGAGCTGTGCCTGGATGACGGCCGCTTCCAGCACTGTTCTTGGCTGATCCGGACCCAGTTTGACTACCTGTTGGAGAGGATCGGTACCAGGATATCCCTCCAGGATACTAACTACAGGCGCTCGCTGAGATAGAGAGTGATGTTTTTTTTCCGTGCCACATACAACAACACGGACGAGCGGCCGCCAGCAGGAGTACGCTGACCACAGTGATGAGGAGCCAGCAGAGGTTTATCCTGCTAGCATTGCGATAGCTAGCAACTCGGCTCGCTAGCTTGCTAAGTTGAAGAGTAGCATTCTTGTGTGTGATCTGGAGGAGAGGGACAGCCAGTCTGCTGAGCACTGAGATCTGCCTTAGCCAGTAATGTGGCTACTTATCTCCTGGGGTGAGTAAATTAATCAGTAATCACGGTGTAGTTGTAAAAAATGAATGAATCATGTTGTTGATGTCACCAGAGAATCTCAACGTTGATTGGTCATCGCGGCGTGTCAGATCGCAAAAATTCAGATTTTTCAACTTGCTCTTCAAACGCGCGTCTAGAATCACATCATACATGCGAATAACTCGCTCAATTCGCGTCAATCGCGCCACGGGATGTTTACTCGTGTCTAGTCGCGTCTTCACATTGACTTTACATGTAAATCATTAGCGCGAATTATTTTACTCGCATCTGGTGTGAACATGCAAATTTGATTGCAGGAAGCCAATATCCTGATGATTAATTGTGCAGCCCAACTAATAAGCTAAAACTGTTAAGGGCAATGGATTTTCTGGACTCAACAGCAGAACACACGACACAGCGAGAAACATTTAAGAATGTTTTTTTGTAAAAGTCTTTAGTGAATTAAGAGAACAAGGTCTAGAGCAGGAGTCTCAAACTTGCGGCCCGCGGGCCCAGGGCCAACTTGTCAGTGCTGCATATGACAATGTCAGAGCATTCTCCAGAAACCTTGTGTTATGGAAAGCCCAGCTTTCCCAGACAAACCTCTGCCATTTTCCTGCATGCAAAGCACTCATGGATTCTGGCACAACATTTCATGGTGAAAAGCATGCTGATGCCATTGGAAAGCTACAGGAAGAATCTGATCACAGATTTGCAGACTTCAAGACACACAGAGTCACTTTTCAAATTTTTGCTTATCCCTTCTCCTTCGATGTGGAAGATGCCCCCACTGTGCTTCAGATGGAGCTAATTGATCTGCATTGCAATTCTGAACTCAAAGCAAAATTTAGGGAGGTGAATGGAAAAACAGACAAGCCTGGACAATTTTTGAAAGCATTGCCCCCAACCTTCCCTGAGCTTTCTAGGATGTTCAAGCGGATCATGTGCATTTTTGGCAGCACCTATTTGTGTGAAAAGCTCTTCTCCACAATGAACTTTAACAAGTCAAAGTTCAGGTCAAAACTTAAAGATGAGCATCTTAAAGCCATGCTGACGATTTAAGTTGCTTCCTCTCTCAAGCCAGATGTGGCTCAGTTGTGTGAGAAGAAGCACTGCCAAGTCTCTGGCAGCAAGGACTAGGAATAAGTAGAAGAAGCCTATGTTCTGAAGAACAGTTCATGTTCTGACTTGTTAATAGTTATTTATTTTGTTTTTAGAATTAAAAAAGTTTGATCAGTTGTATGTTTTTTGGTGGAATTCTTGATTGCGGCCCAGCCTCACCCAGGCACTACTGCTAGCAGCCCTCATGTAAGTTGAGTTTGAGACCCCTGGTCTAGAGGAAAATGTCACAGCTAGCGGTGGTGTAGGAGTGCAGGTGTGGCTGAACACACTGGAAAGGGATGCAAAGATGGCAGATGATTAGAGACAAGTTGTCAGAGGCAGCTGTGAGGCTGGGGACCTGAACGTTGAGAATCTGGAGTAGGATGTAGATGGCTTGGTCATGGTGTCAGCAAAAATCTGGAACTTGATGCACAAAGAAGATTAAAGGTTAGATTTGAACACCACAAAACTGAAACTAAGCAGTGGCTTGCCAAGACAATACGTCTCTGAAGTAGGAAGAATGATCTGGTGGAGAATGGAGGGTTGATCTGATCAGATCTGTCAGGTGATTGGCAGCAGGGGAAAAAGTCGGTCACCACATCAGGACACACACTGATAGATGGAGCCAGGGTCATCACAGAAACATTATGTATATAAACGTTATGACTATCCAGTCTAGCAGCCAGAGCTCCCTAGCTATTCCTCGCACGAAGCTACAACCATGGGGAACCGGGTCTTGTCCATACAGGGACTGGGACCTGTGGAATCAGCTCCCAGGCTCCATCAGGGCCTCTGACTCCCCTGCTGCCTTCAAAAACAGTCTAAAGACTAATGTATTCTACTCTGGTTTTAAATAGGGCTTTGTTGGAGTATTTTATAGATTTTTTAAATCATTTCAAATATTCAGATTTTCATTTTATTTTTCTTCTTCCTGTGAAGCACCTTGAGATGTCGCCTGATTTTAAAATGTGCTATACAAATAAAATGTATTATTATTATTATTATTATTATTATTAACCATCCATCCATCCTCACTAGGGTCGCAGGGGGGCGGTGATTTGGTCCTTGTCAAAGTTGGTCAGATCTTTCACCTGCCCAATTCTCTAGAACCCAACACACTGACTATGAAAACCAATGAGTCACTTTACATCCAGTATATTCTAGACTAGGGGTCGGCAACCCGCGGCACCCGAGGTAACCAGTCTATCACAGGGCTACACTTAGAGACAGACAACCAAGCACACTCACATTCACACCTATGGACAATCACCAATTAACCTCAACATGTTCTTGGACTTGTGGGAGGAAGCCGGAGAACCCGGAGAGAACCCACGCTGCATGGGGAGAACATGCAAACTCCACGCAGAAAGATACGCAGAAAGATCCCAG